TTAAATACTTCTTAATGTTTCACCAAAATTGTAAAGATAACAGACCATAAAGTATTTTAATGAAGAACAAATATAGAACTTGAACATTGTAGAAGGTTCCAGATATTTCTATCTTTTAAAGAAACATTCCCTCATAGCTTGCATTATCAGCTTAGAGATTGGTACAGTTAACTGGTTCAAGAATACATTATAATGGTGTTTATAATGATGAGGCTGATGACAAACGATGATAATGATGATAAAGACAAAATCATAAAGTGATTTATTTCAAAATATTGTTTGTTGCTGAATCATGAGGATTAATATTTCAAAATTATTTTATTTTATGGTGAATAAAATACGAATGAGAGGGCTTGTGGGTAAATCTTTATACTAAGAATCTTTATAAAAATAAATATTATTATAAAGTTATTACACGGACACACTCTACTATTTCTATTATTGTTATTTTTGTCGTTATTATCATCATCATCATCGTATACATCTTTTTTTTTTTAAAATAACCGATTTTTCTCGTTTTTCTTGTATCTTTGCCATTCTAAATAAACTTGTGGCCACGAATTTTTTATGAATTCTAAAATTTTATTTATGGTGCTTGATTTATTGTTTCTGCCCAATGGACCTAACAATGTAACTATTGTTTTGACGTCAGGAGAAATTTCTTTCGTGAGCATATCTTTTGTTAACACTTCATAGATTGTTTGATGAGGAGCTTTTAATCTATATAAAGCTTGAATGTATGAATTATAATGATTTGTATTTAATCTGATTTTATTAGATGAATGATAATTAATCACTAGATCCCAAAATCTTTCAAGATTTTCAAGAGTTCCATAAAATCCTATAGCATCACAAACAATAGATGTTGCTGGTTGTATACTATTGTCATTAACATCACAACTTTTCAAAATGTCATCCCAAATCTCCATAACTTTTGTAAGTTGGCCAAGTCTACAATATGCACTTAAAAATGCTGTTCTTTTATACTTTTTATTCGAAGGGTTTAAAGATTTTGGTAATTTATTCAATAGATTGATTGTATTAACCATTTCTTCTTTATTATTTGTAATGGCGTATTGATTTAATAATCTTATTAGACAATATTCTACAATATCTACTTTATACGTAATGAAATCTAATTTTGGGTTCATTCGCAGAATTATTGAAATTATTTGTTTAACTTTTGATTCATATCCTGAATTTATGTAAAAAAAACACAATTCAAATAATGTAAATGTTATAAAATTTGCTATTAAAAAAAAAAAATCTACTTTATACGTAATGAAATCTAATTTTGGGTTCATTCGCAGAATTATTGAAATTATTTGTTTAACTTTTGATTCATATCCTGAATTTATGTAAAAAAAACACAATTCAAATAATGTGGGTAATCTAGGTTCGATATTAGAAGAAATCATATTGTCGTAGATTATGTCTGCAAACGTCAATTGTTCCTTCCACCCAAACATCACGATTAGATAATGTCCAATGTTTTTATCAATCATGATACCTTTTGACGAAATCTCTTTATAAACATCAAAAGCTTTTTGGATCCCATTGAAAGCAAATAATCCTTGAAATAATTCTAACAACACCAATGGATTTTCTTGTATATGTTTTGATTTTATATTCAAGAAATATTCGACGGCTTTTATTGGTTCCGCATTTTTAAAATAATATTCTACCTGTTCCAACACATCCATTTCTGTTCTTCCCGGTTTTTTTACCATTTTGTCCATAATCATGTCTTTGTAAAACATATTTAAATATTCTATATTTCTCGATTTATTGCATTCAATTAATAGCCTATTTATTGAATTTTCGTCAAACCGAATTTTATCTTTTTCATCATATATTCCAATTATCTTTGGTGATGGTGTTTTATTTCTCATCAAATTAATAATTTCATCAAGTTTACCATTAAACAATCGAACTTTTTTGTGAGCATTTTGTAAATGGTATTGCTCTTGCTGTGGTTGAGACTGTTGATATCGTTGAGGAAGACTTTGAAATTTTATTGATGAGAATTTTACTATTCTTGGTATATTTCGTATATTTATTATTAGATTTGATTTACAATAATATAAATACTTTAATTTAGTAATTTGATTTCTAAAATGTAATAGAGAGTTCATTTTTTTTATTGACTTTTGAAAAATTTTTTTTTGTGCAAGTAATTACGTGATTAAAAACAAATCGGTCTAATTTACGTGATGACGATATGGTGCCGATCATCTAAAGACATCAAAATTTCAGCTAAACTTTAAAATGTATAAGCTCAATAACTAAGCAGGATT